AGAACGCATATATAACTCTTGCCTGTCTCGAAGAGGTTAAAATTGCATAATAGATTGAATTGCATACTTGCATTGTTAAGTTGCATCTCACATGATATTTTGATTTTTGGATATGTAATGGAGGAAAAAGTATTTAAATTTTGTTATCATTCGAAAACATTTTTATGTAAAGCGGATCAAGTTTGGCAACTCTGTATTCCAGTAAATACTGTCTCTATAAGCTCATTATTTTTGAAAATGAACTAATGCAGGGTGTCTACCGGTCTCGAAAATTTTCGTGATCTTTAATCCAAAATCGACGTTTTCGAGGTTGTATGATGAATCCGAAATTGAGAAATAGGAATTAGTTTTTGAAAAGTAGTGATTATATGAATCACTTCAGAGATTTTTGATTGAAATTCTCGTCAACAGTAAAGGTCTAGTTATATTTTAAGTTGAATCCTTTAACCATAAGCGCAGAATTTTTATCTAACACATTTTTGTCACTTTTCTCCTTGTTTTGTATTAATATAAGTCAAAATAAGTGAAAAATATTACATTAAGCATTTTAGTAATTTTTTGTTTATGAAATACAGCATAAAGTATCATTGTTTTATACTGCGTTTAAGGTAAAATCTTTCAAACACGGTTCCCTTACAAATCATAATTTTGCTTTTATTTACAGTTATTTAGATCTCAGAGAAATAGTTATTCATCACTGAAATTTCTTTATTTTTCTTCAAAATATATTATTAATAAATTTTTAAATATGAATGAAAAAGAATTTCTAACTACTCCTTTCGGATTTTATTTTTTAGTATAAAAAATAATTTCGATTATCCAACAAACTTTTTTAGTAACTATTAGACTGTTTGTTATAATAAAAAAATACAAAAATATTTTTTACTTGTAATTAATTAGAGAGAAAGAAATATATATGAAAGGAACACTGGTATCCCATCTGCTTCAAAGGATAAATGTTGAACCAAGTTTTACATTGTATAAGATACGCTAAAAAATACGCCAACAGAACAACCGTACGAGTTACTACTGGTAATTATTATTTTACAGGAAAAAATACGTCTACGAAGGTGAAAGCGCACTACATAAGTTAAGAACTTTTCAATCTGACCAGCACACTGTGGGCCAGAAAACCATGATCTTTGTCAAAAATTAAATTTTCAACTAAAATATGCGTAGACAGTTTTAATATAGCCCAAATTAAGTATTCATAAGGTTTTTTTAATGTAACTTTTAAATTTTTATTTCAAAAATATGTAGAGGAATTTCACCTTACTGTTACACTTTTATCAGAGTAATTAGTCTGAAATTATAGTGCAATTTTTCAATTGGTTGGATTAGTTAATACTCCTGACAAACTTATAGTTTATATCTTATCATTTGACATTTTACAATGTTTGAATGACTTTCGAAACTTAGTTCCAAAAAGTTCCACGAGGTAATTAGCTAAACTTTTTTTTGTTGTCTTCTTTGAAGTTTCTTCTTTGGAAAAAACCTGCCCCATTTTGCCCGTATTGCAAGGATGAACTAAATATACCGAAAAACTAAAATTTTGTTTTTTTTTCATGTATTCGCGTTATTTTGTAATATTACTTCGGAAATATAATTTGTTTTTCATTTTTAATATAAAATTACGAAAATTATTGTATTTTCATTGCTGTATTTAATTATTTAAACGTGCTATATTATTTTTCTTATTTTTGCTCGCCATATTTCAACCGCCATTTTGTTTTTTTGGATATTTTTAATATATTTCAAAATTTCAACTATGGATTCAATTTACCTGCACATAAAAACCCCTAAATAAAAAAACCCAAATTTTGAAACAAATTTTATCGAAATACTAATTTTGGCCACGAAACCTTGGATACTGACCCACTGTGCAGCATTTAATTGTACTATCTGCCGTTAAACCTTTTTTCATGCTTATTTTAACTTATTTGATTGTTTAATTCATTTAATAAGTATCCATATCTTAAAATATCTTTTTAAAGTACATTTATTATATATGCGAAACAAATTTAACTCTACAAATAAAAGTATTCTAAATTTTAATTAATGTGAAAATACGAGTATGTTTAGTTGTATTGTGAGCTGTGTCTAAAAACTTTTCTAGTACAAACTTGATATTTGTTTCAAAGATTATCCTAATGCTCACTTAAATTTTGAGAGTATCCTGATTAATGGTATTAGGACAAAACCTTGTCTGTTAACCTAATGGTTTGATTAACAGTTTAAAATCATTCTCAACTCAATTTTTATACTTAGCAATTTTTACTATTTTCAAAAAAGGATTTTTCAAAGTGTTAGTAATATGCAAATTTAAAAACCTTTACAGATAAGTAAGATAGTATGTATTGTTACAACTTAAACACAGCATTGTATGCTGGATATTGTTGTTAACTCGGTATTTGGAGCGAAGCGCCACCAACCAATTCATCTACACTTTGTAAACATGTACTATAAAGTCATATATATTAATAATCTTATGCTGAATCAGCATTGTATTGAACTGTATTAAACATCTGTGCACCTCATTGCCATTTTCCCATTCATCTTTAGCTTGAACTTTGTGATGTTTCGATGAGGCGATGGAATGCAAATTAATTAAAGGAGTATTCATATGGATAGATGATCATTGAGTTCCGACTGCGTAGTTATATGCAGTAGGGTGATAAGATTACAAGGTAAAAACATGAGGTGTAACTTGAGGTAAACTGGTATGATGGAAACGAGGTTATTTATATGCTATTGATGTCGAGAATATGATGCATCACTGCAATAGTATGCTGCTATTGGTCTGATTCAGCATTGTATAAAAAATCATGCCGTAATATATGTTTAATAATAAGTAGAATGATATAAACCAGGGCTTATAAACACTATATAAAGATTTAACCACATTTTATTAATTTATCAGTTACCAAAAATATTTTAATAACTCTATGTACATATAACCGATGCCATTAAGTTTAAAATTTTTTATATTTTGAAACGAAAAGTAAACTAAGAAACTTTTAAATCTTCATAGCGAAATTAATACCATTTTTTGAGTTTTTTTTAGTTGCGTATGAACCCAACATTATCCGGTTTTAAGTTGTTTTGAACAAGTGTAATAGTTTCCTATCTGTTAACCGTTATAAATATTTCGTAGTACTTAGTTTTTAAGCTTAACCCTTTAATGGGCCACTTATTTCTAGTAAAGGTAAATAAAGTATTTTTGAAATTGAAATTGTTTTAAGAATAGTAATTGATTTAAGGAAAAAAAACTCATTTAGTTTATAAAAATGCCATTTTTTTGGTGTTAAATATATTTAACACGACCTATTAGGAGATTATTGACTTTTATTTTTCTTTATTTTTAAATTAAATTTTATAAATGATACATGCTTCAAAAGGAATTATGTATTTTATAACTTTTATACGTTTTTTTAAACTAACAAATTTTTACCAATTTTATTCAAACGCACTTCAAGAAAGCTGAAGTTATTAACAAAGGGAAACCTAAATTAAAAGTGGTAAAAAAGTGGTGGTAAGTATACGTCCCACGACCTTCAAAGGGGTTAAAGTGATTAAAAATTCATAAATTCACTTAGATCTTAAGTAATTTCTTTTGAATTATTCAACTTACAAATTTGGTTAAATTTATATTTATCCAATATATACAAATAAAGCATTCATATACCTTAATGACAGAGTGTTTGAACCCTGAAAAAAAATTTTTAAAAATCTTTATTTATATTTTTACTTACAGTCGCATTTCAAATTTCAATTATCTCCAGGAAAATTTAGAAGAAAAAAGAGTATAAGTTGGAAAAAATACATTATAGCACGAATTTTGTTAAAAGATACGAGGGAAAGATTAAAAATTATTTCAAAATAGTCCAAAATTTAAATAATATTCATGGCTGCCAACTACTAAACTTTTTGCAAAATATTTTATGGGGTGGTAGACAATTAAAACCTGAAACTTTCAGAATTTTTGATATTTTCAGAAACATTTTATTTATTCTCACCCCGAGAGAGCTAGAACAAAGTGACGTTTCATATAAACTATTGAATCATTTACATGTTGAGGTGTGGAAAATAACCTTTAATCAAATTTGTATAAAGAAGAATCATACATAAAAACATATGCTTAGCTAACACCAGAAGAAATTTTCCCAAAAGTGCAGAAAGTTGGCAGCTCTGCGATATTTAAACTATGAATTCCTATTATTACCTTTACAACTATTTAAAGGACCACCAACTACTACGCTTTTTGCAAAACGTTTTATTTTATGGAAGACAATTAAAAACTAAAACTTTCAGAACATTTGGTGATTCGAAACTATGCTAAAAAATTTAAAGACTTTACCACAAGACATCATTAGTTTTACCACCTTTTTATATAAACTTTTGAATAATTTAATTGTAGTAGTGTGGAAAAAAAATTTAAATCAAATTTATAAAACAAAATTTAAAACACTAAAATTTAAACTTAGCTACCACTTAAAGAAATGTTCCCAAAATGGGTAAAAAAAATTGGTCGCCCTATGTTTAGAACAAATTCATAACATACGTCTGAACAATTACCGTCTTTAGTATTAAATTTATGATTATTAAATTCAGCATTAATGAAACATACGTTATTTATTACTAAGTTGCAAAATACGCAACATGCACTACATTTCATGATTATGAGTGCATCTATTTATGCATGTTTTTATGTGAAAATGCTGCTAAGAATTTTAGTTCTATCATTATTTATTGCTAACCTATATTTCATTTGAACATGGAAACATAAGCTGATATAAACATGAAGGAAATCTGTCACAACGAACAAATCTTGTTGGGTGCACCATTTGTCACCACAGAATATTTGGAAAGAAAATGTTGCTTTTTTTATGATTTGCTTTTGCTGTCTGCTCAAGCTATCTTTTAACAGTTGTCGTAAAACAAAAATCAATGTGAGACATAAAGTGACGTCATCCATTTTGTAAGAGTAGAGCATATCTCACCTGTGACGTTGGCGTGACGCTTCTTGTACCACCTCCAGAAGTCTGACGCAGAGCATCGTTCTCAGCTTCCGCCCTCACAAGAGCTTCTTTCAGTTCTTTAACATCCTTGCTGAGGCTGGATGTCAAGTTACGAGCCAAAGAAAGCTCTTTTTCCAACTCCTTGAACTTGCTTCTATCCACGTCTTGACGAACTGCAGCTTGGTATTCTCTAACCTGAGGAGAAATATAACTTGAATTGATTAAGAAGCATTTTATAGCACTGTTGGTGAGAAGGAAATAAAATATGGCCAGATTTGAAACTTTTTTCGAAAAAATATTCTGCAAAACTTAGTTCGACTAAAAAAAATTGCTTCCTAAATATAGTTTAACCTTTTAACGCAGAATATTTATTAAATATGTTTATCTAAGTTTTTTTCATTATTTTGTATTAATTTAGAACAAAATAACCGTAATATATTATATTTAGCATTTTAATAATTTATGGTTATGAAATACAGCATAAAGCACCGGTGTTTTTATTAGCGTTGAAGGTAAAATCTTCCAAACACGACTCCCTTCCACACAATAATTTTTCAAATTTTAATTTATTTGCAATTAATTAGATCTAAAGAAACAGTTAATTATCATTGAAATTTCTTTAATTTGCAAAATTTAATTATTGATAAAACACCGGTGTCTTTATCTGCGTTGAAGGTTAAATCTTCCAAACACGGCTCCCAACCACACAATAATTTTTCAAATTTTAATTTATTTGCAATTAATTAGATCTAAAGAAACAGTTAATTATCATTGAAATTTCTTTAACTTACAAAATCACTTGTTAATAAATTTTTGAATACGAATGAAAAAACTTTTCAAGGTAATTTTTTTTTAGAACTTATATTTTTGTCCAAATATAATTTTGATAATCTAACAGATTTTTTAGTAATTATTAGATTGTTTTCATAATTAAAAAAAACTGAAACATATTTTATTGTAATTAGAGGGTCAGAAAAAAATATGAAATGGACACCGGTGTCCCATCTGCATCAAAGGTTTGACCACGAGAGTTCATTCAAGCATTTATTTATTATAATACAGAATGTTTTTCAATAAAAAATTCGTACTTAGGATCTATAAAAGTTTTGATCCATTGCGATTTACCTCCAAAAAATATTTCTTAATTATAAATTGAAAATTTTTACCATATATACAGGGTTGCCACAAGCGACTGAAAATATTTAAAGTGGTAAAAATTCAATTCAATTTTATTTTTATTTATTATTTCTTTAATTATTAAATCGTAAGTATCACTAAATGAAATAAAGTACCACTAAATGTAAATGGAAAGTCATAGACTAACATTTCAAATTACTCATATTTTGAGCAAATACATTCACTTTCAATGGGAAACTGAAAAATATATGCAGTAGAAATCTGCTAATTTTATTCTCTTTTATTAAACATTTTAAATTTTATTGGTCATATCATTTTGCATTTTTAATTACCCTTGGCAACCCTGTATATTATAGACTAACGTTCAGTTGATTATTCAGAAAGTGCATTTGATTATTGCCGTCAGTTTAGAAATATTGAAACAAATAATGACTTTTTATTTTGGAATTTTAATTGATAATATATTTCGCCTCTCTCATACTTAAAACACACTATTATGTACACCACATTGTCAATTGCTTATGTAGCACTATGTTCTATGTAACTGATGGAAGAGTTGTAAAATATTATATCAGTGTCTTTATAACTACCATTGCATTGCACTTAATATTTCCCAATCAGAATAATTTTTGACAAGCATCACTTTCTAAAATTAGAAAAATATAATAAAATAAGTATTGCTTATTTACTTTGTCTTCCAAACTATGGCGATCTAATTCCAGAAGCTCGCATTTTTTCTCTGATTTTCTTAGCTTGAACTGCAGTACTCTACAGTTCTTGGTAGCCGTCTCCAGCTCTTTTTTGAGACCTCGGAATTCAGAAGCTTGATCTTCGCGGAAATTATCATGTAGTTCTTCAAGTTCTTGTTCCAAATCTCTAACCTATTGCATGAGGGAATCAATTAATGATAACTTTTAGTCTGATTTTTCTGAAAAATAAGTTTGGCAAAACAAAAATTAGTTCATGTATTTCACATTATTGCACATTTAGAATCTAAACTTATTTATATGACGCCTCTATTGCATTGAATTTTGCTAAGTTTGTTATAAATTAGTTTTGACTGTACTTGGCGTACCGTGTGAAAGTGTAATTTCAATTAAGAAACAATTTTTCTCTGTATGCTTCAATTTTGAAGAAAACTCAGTACAAAAAAATAAACATACCAAAGCTGAAACTCTAAGAGCAGATGAAATAGATGAGGGGAAAATTTATGCCACCATCAATCGTCATTTTCAAAATGGCAGTTAAAATGTTTTCGAAAAAATTGTAGAGTTAAATAATCTTGATAGCTAGCGATAGCTTATTACTGTGCTTATAAATAAAACGTTGTATATAAAGTATCACAACAATAAATAAACATGATTATTTTTTTGGAAAAAAAAATATATCTACTGTATAAATTCTATGTTAATGTGTGTCTACGTAAAAAAAAAACGAGAATTGTATTTCGTACATTGTATCTATGAATAAATTAATATTCACATATTCCAAATTATATAACTAAAAAAAATTTTTTATATATATATATATATATATATATATATATATATATAC